CGAATGACATTATGTGTTTTCAACTCGTCATAAATATTGTTCAGAAAGACACACATACACCAAAGTTGGCATAGTTGGAGTCGAAGGATTGCTGACGCTCACGGTGAAGAAATTTTTTGAATAACTCATACGGTTTTTGCTAAGCAGTCGTTTGTTCGGAGCTGTTGCTCCCATTCAAAAAAGCCTGAGAGCTAAGGAACGATAGTGCTGCGCTTTTCTCTCTGTCACTGACAGGCTCGTTAAGCGTTGTCAAGGTAACCGTGCTTCAAAGAGATTTTACCTCTGCTGTTTTAAACAGCACATATTAATCTAATGGAGGGTGAAAGCACTGATTTAACATTGGGAAATGGATACTATATGACTGCTGTCCATGACACTTCCCTTGCCACTCAACACTGATAGACTTTCAAAATAAGACTCCAGGGACCCTACAAAATAAAAGCCTCTATATTTTTTACATATATTTATTGCCCTATATGGCTCAACATTATGACCCAAACTCAACCCCATTTTAGAGAATAGACTCTAGGAGACTGTTTAAAACACAACCTAAGGCAAATTTCAAAATAAAAGCCTCCCATTTCATCTTCATCTACTGCCCTAATAACATGGAAAAAGAGTGATTTAACGATTGGAAAGTCATCAACTATCATTGCTGGGTCTGAACATTTTCTCTAAACACAACTCTGTTGGACTTTCAAAATAAGACTACAGGGACCCTACAAAATAAAAGCCTCTAGATTATACTAATGCAATAATTGATGCAAATGGCTCAACATTATGACCCAAACTCTTCCAGGTTGTTTTTATTAGACTCTAGTGACCTTTTCAAAACACACCCCAGAGCAAATTTCACAATAAAAGTCTCCCATTTACTCTGTAATACAGCAGCTATTCACCTAATAACATGGAAAACCAGTGATTTAACATTTGGAAATGGATTCTATATCACTGCTGGGCATGACCCATCTTTTGATGCACATCCATGATAGACTTTCAAAATAACACTACAGGGACTCTACAGAATAAAAGCCTCTTCCTTATACACACTCATACATTCTGGCATATTGCTCATAGCCATTGGTGATTTCATCACTGCAATGGCTCTTAGAAGGCGGGCGAAGCCCGCCATTGGTGATTTCATCACTGCAATGGCTCTTAGCAGGCGGGCAGAGCCCGCCATTGGTGATTTTTTTCATCGCTGCAAGGGCTCCTAGCAGGCGGGCGGAGCCCGCCAACTGCGCTTTACCCACTGCGGTTCAATATGGACAACCCATATTACCCTTGTGCATCATATGCTGTGCACGTCTATTTCCCAGATTTCAGCACAAGTGGCACACAGCTCTCTTTGCCCATGACCTAGCCCTCTTTCCTTCCCTCAGCAGCCCTCAAAGGCGTAAGCAGTTGGTCTGGGGAGCCCCAATGTCACTTGCCAGGGCCGTATTGGCCCAGTTACCCAGACGGGCAGTAGGTGGCCCCCCTCAAAATTTCTTTAGAAATTTTCTAGTTTTTATTATAGCTTATAGTTCTCCTCGCCACCAAAAACTTCGGCGCGTAACTAGTCACGCACCATTCGTCGGATCGGGCCCAAAGTTGGCACACGCGTCGGGACCAATGGTGCGATGCGTGCTTGTATAAAACTTTCTCATTAGTCCGAAGGTTCGCGAATTATTAGCGAAAACGTCGCAAAAAAAATCCCATAGGAAATGAATGGGGAGAGGAAAAAAAAGCATAAAAAACAGCACTTCACTGTGTCGGCATACATTCATGTAGAAAAACAGTTTAAAGCTCAGTTTGTAGATAAATCCTTCGTCTATTTAAAACTGAAGACGGTATGTTGATAACTGCTACGGTTTTTGTATAATCAGACCTCAAGCGCCACAAAGTTTTAGCAAAATCCACCCTTCTAGAGTGGAGAGACTGAAAAGCTAGAGTGTGAGGCAGCCGTTTTTTTAAGACCAAAAAACATTTTAAACTCGCCCTCACGGCCACATATTTATAGCTAGAGTCACCATTTTTGGTCAGTTTGTAGACTGAAATCTCTGGACCCACACAATGTCTTCGGAATTACGGTAGGATTAATACTTTTCCTTAAAAACCCTCCAGACCGACCTAAAGTCGATCAAAATCAGAGCCGTTTTTCATTGGTTTTGGAGCAGCAGTGGGGAGAAAAACGAATGACATTATGTGTTTTCAACTCGTCATAAATATTTTTCTGAAAGACACACATACACCAAAGTTGGCATAGTTGGAGTCGAAGGATGGCTGACGCTCACGGTGAAAGAATTTTTTGAATAACTCATACGGTTTTTGCTCAGCAGTCGTTTGTTCGGAGGACATTTTAAGCACCAGAAAGCTGGGGGAGAGGGACCTGCTGCAGCTAGCCCAATTAAAAGATCAGGTGTGAGAAAACGTTTTTTCTTTTTCTTTCTCTTCCCATTCAGGTTGTAGATGACCTACAGCCATGAAAGTTACTCCAATTGAAGACAAGATATAGCTGTAGCTTAGATAAAAATAATTTTTCAGATATCATTTATGGTTTTTACTCAGCAGTCCTTTGTTCGGAGGGGGGCTTTAGCAGCTTAAAGGTGAGTGAGAGTGTGTTGCTGCAGCTAGCTCAGTTAGAAGCTAAGGACTGAGGACCCGTTTTTCTTATTCTTTCTCTTCCCATTCAGGTTGTAGATGACCTATAGCCATGAAAGTTACTCCAATTGAAGACAAGATATAGCTGTCGCTTAGATAAAAAGAATTTTTCAGATACCTTTTACGGTTTTTACTCAGCAGTCGTTTGTTTGGAGGGGTGCTATAGCAGCTTAAAGGTGACAGAGTGTGGTGCTGCAGTTTAAACAAAGGGAGGAGCAGGTGGGATCAGCCATTTTGTTTGTGCTTCGTTTTGGGTTGTGAAAGACCTACAGACATGAAGGTTACCCCAGTCTGAGACAAAGGATAGATGTTTCTTTCACTGAAAGAATTTTTCTAATACCTTTTACGGTTTTTGCTCAGCAGTCGTTTGTTTGGAGGGGGAGCACCTGGAAGCTAGCTAACAGTTAGCTTCTGCATCAGCCTGCCTGAGGGCAGCTGCTGACATCTTACTGTGAGGAGGCCGTTTTTTTAAGATAAAAGATTTTGTTCTTGCCTCACGGCCACATATTTGGAGCTACAGTCACCATTTTTGGTCAGTTTGTAGACTGAAATCTCTGGACTCACACAGTGTCTTCAGAATTACGGTAGGATTAATACTTTTCCTTAAAAACGCTCCAGACCGACCTAAAGTCGATGAAAATCAGAGCCGTTTTTCATTGGTTTTGGAGCAGAAGAGGGGAGAAAAACGAACACCACTATGTGTTTTCAACTCGTCATAAATATTTTTCTGAATGACACACATACACCAAAGTTGGCATAGTTGGAGTCGAAGGATTGCTGATGCTCACGGTGAAGAAATTCTTTGAATAACTCATACGGTTTTTGCTCAGCAGTCGTTTGTTCGGAGCTGTTCCTCCCATTCAAAAAAGCCTGAGAGCTAAGGAACGATAGTGCTGCGCTTTTCTCTCTGTCACTGACAGGCTCGTTAAGCGTTGTCAAGGTAACCGTGCTTCAAACAGATTTTACCTCTGCTGTTTTAAACAGCACATATTAATCTAATGGAGGGTGAAAGCACTGATTTAACATTGGGAAATGGATACTATATGACTGATGTCCATGACACTTCCCTTGCCACTCAACACTGATAGACTTTCAAAATAAGACTCCAGGGACCCTACAAAATAAAAGCCTCTATATTTTTTACATATATTTATTGCCCTATATGGCTCAACATTATGACCCAAACACAACCCCATTTTAGAGAATAGACTCTAGGAGACTGTTTAAAACACACCCTAAGGCAAATTTCAAAATAAAAGCCTCCCATTTCCGCTTCATCTACTGCCCTAATAACATGGAAAAAAGAGTGATTTAACGATTGGAAAGTCATCAACTATCATTGCTGGGTCTGAACATTTTCTCTAAACACAACTCTGTTGGACTTTCAAAATAAGACTCCAGGGACCCTACAAAATAAAAGCCTCTAGATTATACTAATGCAATAATTGATGCAAATGGCTCAACATTATGACCCAAACTCTTCCAGGTTGTTTTTATTAGACTCTAGTGACCTTTTCAAAACACACCCCAGAGCAAATTTCACAATAAAAGTCTCCCATTTACTCTGTAATACAGCAGCTATTCACCTAATAACATGGAAAACCAGTGATTTAACATTTGGAAATGGATTCTATATCACTGCTGGGCATGACCCATCTTTTGATGCACATCCATGATAGACTTTCAAAATAACACTACAGGGACTCTACAGAATAAAAGCCTCTTCCTTATACACACTCATACATTCTGGCATATTGCTCATAGCCATTTGTAATTTCATCACTGCAATGGCTCTGAGCATGCGGGCGGAGCCCGCCATTGGTGATTTCATCACTGCAATGGCTCTTAGAAGGCGGGCGAAGCCCGCCAATGGTGATTTCATCACTGCAATGGCTCTTAGCAGGCGGGCAGAGCCCGCCAACTGCGCTTTACCCACTGCGGTTCAATATGGACAAACCATATTACCCTTGTGCATCATACGCTGTGCACGTCTATTTCCCAGATTTCAGCACAAGTGGCACACAGCTCTCTTTGCCCATGACCTAGCCCTCTTTCCTTCCCTCAGCAGCCCTCAAAGGCGTAAGCAGTTGGTCTGGGGAGCCCCAATGTCACTTGCCAGGGCCGTATTGGCCCAGTTACCCAGACGGGCAGTAGGTGGCCCCCCTCAAAATTTCTTTAGAAATTTTCTAGTTTTGATATATTCTTTTCAGAGACCTGAATAAGTCCTAAAAATTCAAAGATACAAAATGCATCACTTTTATTTTATTTTCCTGATGATTTAACTGTATGCAAAAGTTTTCTGAAGACATTTCACATCAGGGAAAGTTATTTTCATTAAAGATTAGACTGTCACTCACTCTGACAAGCATGTGTGGAAAGGGTCCACGGGAGTTTTCAGGCACATTGATGGGTGGGATGACCCAATCTCTCTTTTGCCGCCTCAAACCATTGGCAGAGGAACCTCTCAGATGTCTTCGAGAAAACTTGATAACTCTGGGTTGGGACTCCCACACCCGTGACAGCATTTCTTCAAAGCCGACCTGAAAAGGACAAAAACAAACATGTCATACTTAAAACATAAATTCAGCTGATCCATAATTGGCTTACTGAAACATAAAAATTAGTTTATGTTACCACGTTAAAAAAGTAACTAATTATAAGAGACATGGTTTCAAATGTTGTCAGGGTGATAAGAGGCTATCTTTAAATAAATTATTTTTTAGTAAAGTCTACATGTCTGAGATTTATTCAGGCTGAGAAAGAGGGAAAGTGAGCAAGACACTCAACAGGTATTCGAAGACTGAATGCTTGTTTTGGAATATTCCTCAGTCAAATTCTAGTGGCAAAATTTAATTGTAGACTACGTTTTGTAAAAAAAAAAAAAAAAGCTTAATGCTTCAAACTTGTAATGGTAATACAATGGTATTTGGAATATTCTTTTGGCACAATTTTGCCCTACCGCATTCTTTAAACCCCTTAGTATATCTAATATACTTGTCACCAAATCATTTCCTTGATTAATATGGGTTTTCATGGTGGCTTGCAGCATAATAGTGCATCATGTCACAAAGCTCCTATTATGTAAGAGTGATTTCTTGAAAATTACATTTACTATACTACTGTACAACGCGCTCAATAGTCACCTGCTCTTACTGAAATACAGCATTTTTGAAAAGAGCTAAATGAGAGACTTGCATCATGGATGTGTAGCTGACAAATTGGCAGCAACATAATGATGATATCAGGTTACTTTGGGTAGAAGATGGCCTGGAACAGACTAGTAACCTGTTGTACCCTGACTCTCGCCCATAGACTGCCAGAGATAGTCATCGGCCCCACTGCGACCCTGACGGAATAAGCGGGAGAAGATAGATGAATGGATGAAATTTGTAAGGAAGGTTACAGAAACCTTGATACACTGATGCTACCAAGTATTTATACAGGCAGGCAAAGTGAATCCAAACTAGAACTAGTTATTTGCTCCTAATAAAAGGTCAGATTAGGGTGTAAAAATACCTATGAATAGCAGCAAGGTTATAGAAATGCTCAGGGCTAATTAGTAACTCTGCAGTTTTTAATGTACATGTATTGTATTTTTATGTATATTATATTTTTTAAAGGTTTAAATAGACATACATGTGAAGCTCAGATTCACCAACATAACTCAAAAAATTGTATTTAGAGATAACTTAAAAAAAATCTCAGCATGATACATTATTAAAAATTGTATTTTATAAGCTGTGATGGACTGGTGACCTGGTGTATGTTGCCTTCCCCAAATAGACTGCTGGAGTGAGGCACCAGCCCCACCTCAATCCTGATGGAATAAGCGGGAGGAAATGGATGGATAGATATTTTAAAAGAATGGGGGAAAAAATTATAATGATTAGATACCATATTTTCATCTGTCTTTTTTTTTTCTTTTTCTTTAATTTTTGGCAGGATAAGTTCTTCTCATCTTCAATCATCTGAAACACCCCAGTACCACCCATTGGTCCCAGCTGCCCTTGAGTACGGTAGCAATCAAACATTTTAGACCAAAATCCTGCTAACAAAGATCGGGATTACAAATAATTTTAGTTTAGTTAGAAAAACAATTCCATTCAATTTAATGTATTAATCTCAAGGCAATTAACAAAGATAGTTAAATGATATAGAAGACATAAAAGTTTTATTTCTAAGGAAACCCATCTGATTGTTTTGAGTTGATGACTTTGCAGGGTGGATGATTATGTAGCTATAGTAGATATTCGCTTGCATTGTGTCATTGACTCTAACAAAAGACATAAATCCCTTTAAATATGAGTTGTCTGACCTCCTTAGGCAGGACACTTGAGCCTGACTCCTACTTAATACAGCAAACCTCCTTTTAGACTTATGCACAGATGTGAGTGCTTTATTTACCTCCCTGCAGGTACATTATTATTTCAAGATTTCCTTTATCTCCATCTCTCCAGTTTGTCCCTCCTGATGACTGAACAGAATGAGGTTAATTTCTCTAGAAAAACATTTGTCTGAAGATGAGAGGAGAACCCTGCAGTTTTGCAATCATCCAAGATAAAAAACAGTTTCTCTCAAATTGTGCTCTAAGCCTTAATGTTATTTAGGTGTTTCAGACCACCAAGCATTCTCCTCATTTCAGGAAATCTGTACTTTATATATATCGAAAGACATTTTATATACAGTTTATTTTCGAGACTTTTGAAAACCTCCTAGTGTTTAGCTTTGATGTAGAAATGTATGGACAGATAAACAAACCCCCAGGCCTCTCCTCTGTGATGCCTTCTGGCTATAGCTGCAGAGGGAAGATTGCATTCTTACTTAGTTTACCTCGCGGAATAGAACTGCGTGTTAAGCAGTGTTTTACAGCAGTGTATCCTTTATGCTATTCTCATGTGTAATATGGCTGTTTTGCTGTAATCCAACTAATCCTATTGTTGAGTCTCCACTCCGCAAACACACACACATTCAGCGGCAGTGTGTCGTTGTCACCTGAAGCACAGTGGAAATCCTCCTGCTAATCCCACCTGGACCACATGCAGCACAGCTTGCAGCTGGCAGTGCACACGAGCAGTCATGGACACGTCTCAAAAAAGCAAACATGGGCCAGCAGTCCATCCTATCAGGATGGACCTGCTCTGCCTGTGAGGGAGTCAGACCAAATGCTACATTCAGGTAAAAGCAGTGAATGTTTTCATTTTTCTTTTGTTTGAGTTTGAAATTTAGAGAATTGAATCCATCTGAACAAATGGTGGACAAAAAGGGTTAAGAAGGGTGGGAGTGCTGAAAGATATGGAACACTTTTCATAGGAATCAGATTATTCAAAAACACTCAGGTGATGTAATTAGCTTTTCTCTTGAAGTTGTAGCTCATAAAATTTGTTATGTTCCCATTGTGGGGTTACACCCTTAAAATTAAATGTAGCATACATATGTTTATGGGTATAGGGCTCTAAAATTTTCCTCAAATCAGAAAGTTTGCAATGCATTTATATACTGATACCTTTACTCTCACATCTGCATATAAAACAATGTAAGCAAATGCCTTCAAACGTTCCCTAATTATTTAATCTTATTCTCAATAGTAAGTCTCTGAGGACCTCAAGTTTTTTTTTTGAGATAATGTTTAATAACCTTTATCCTGGAGACAAAACTCCTTAGATTATGGACCACTGAGGGGATTATGTTAGCTTTCTTTATCTTTTGTTTTGCATGTTGGCTAAAAAAAAACATACTTTGGTGTCATCTGGCCAGAGCATCTTCTGTTACATGCTTGTGTGCCTTACATGTCTCATGAAATAGAACTTCTAATATCTTTCTTTAACAAATGATTTTTTCTTGCCATTAAAAGCTTTACTGTCAGGGGTATCTGAATAACGGAGGCTGAATACACGTCCAACCTTTCAAGTTGTCATTTTAAAAAAAATATATAAAACGTACAATTTTCCATCTATATTAATGTCCTTGTTTGTGTTCCCACAAAAAGCATTGCTGGTTTTGTTTTGTTATGGTACAAAACGGGAACAATTTCAGTAAATATATCTGCAAACGTTCGTATGAATTTTCAGCTTTAGTATGAACAGTCAGCCAACAATTAAAAATGGCTTAATGTGGATGACAAATCATCCATGATTGTTTGCTGTTAGTGAGTGCCTTAAGAATGTTATGACATATAACGCGTGCCAAAGCTGTTCTTCTTCATCTACACCCATCCTAGCGAACAGCTCCTGCGATAAAGTCTGTATCTTTCCTCCCAGCTATCAATAGCAAAATACAATGAATGAATAGACTGCACCATACGACAATCTGCCAACTGATGAAGAGTCGTTGATAACAGGGCTGAAATATTTCATTGGTCAGGTTTCAGCATTCTTTTGAAAGAAATTAAGAAATGAAGAAGGGAGACAGTCAGGCAGAGAAATGGAATTCAACAGAGAGATATCCTTTAGTGGAAGTCTGCTCATGGATGATACAGTATCTGCATAGTGAAAGCATGTGACTGAGACTTTCAAACAGCATAGCTGATGAAATGCTGCTGGCGTTGTGACAGAAACAGAATTACAGAGAAAAGAAATAACACAGAGTACACCCCCAACAAGCTTCTTGGAAACAACAATGTGTATCTATTAAATTAGGGTTGTGTTTTTTTTTTTCTTTATACACACTCACTGGCCACTTTTACACTTCAACTCCCAAATGCCAGTTTGGACCCCCTTTTTGCCTCTGGGGCCGCTTATAACACAGTTGAGACAGATTTGCAGGCTACATATCTGTGATGGGAGCCTCCTGCTCCAAAGAATTTAAAAGGTACTGTAATGGATCAAGATCAATGGTTCAAGAAACTTCTTTGACATGGTTTGAACTTTTAAAGATCAGAAAGTGGGTGGTTTATGAAGTGATGGACAGACTGTGCCACACTAATGAAACAACATTCAGTCGCACAAACTTTAAATCATAGTACTACCAGCAACTTCAACCACTAATATTATGCAGAATGGCTCCATGTTCTCATGTTTTTTTTTTCCGGCCAAGATCTGATTCACCCAACATGCTGTCTGAAATTGTCCAATTTCAGTGGGTTGTGTGAACATCGGCCTCAGTTGACTGTTTTTATCTGATCAGAGAGGCACCCAGTTTGCTGTTCTGCTGCGCTAGCTCATTTACTTAAAGCTTAGATGTGCCGTATATTGAGAGAGGATATCCAACATTTTTTGGTTGTAACTAGTGGCTGTTTGAGCTACGAGATCCTTTCCATTATCTTTGAAAAAATACTTATTTTATGCTGAGTGGTTGCTGTCGGTGGAAATCCTACTATATCAATATTTTCTAAAATACTTTTTATTACCATCAGCCGTGCCCCAATTAAGGTCACTTAAATCTTATTACTTCCTTATTCTAATGCTTCTTTTGTCATCTTATCTTTCTCCTCTAATGAAACCAAAAAATAGATACAGCTATAGTTTTTCTAAATATGTGTAAAGTGACATTTAACAGTATATACATGTAGGTGTGGATACAGTTCTTTGCATCCATTGAGATT